GCAACTAGTACACAAACGAGAAGGTGTAACCCATTTTGAGATAATAATATCTTTTCTTGAAGAAAGAGTTTCTAATGTATGAGACTAGGGATGTCCCAAACGTTGGTGCCAAATAGAGTCTTCTTCCCTGTTCGTTGCTAGTGCTGAGAGAGCATATTGTGCTTCTTCATCTAATGCATAAAGCTGCCCTTTCCTAGATCCTTTGGCAAGAATTTGTTGTGTTTTTGGATCCTTGATAACAAAAGCAGTTGATGAGAATTCAAAAATACAAGAGTTATCTTGTGTAAACTTACTAATAGAAATAAGATTCTTTTTTAAATCTGGAACAACCAAAACTTTATTTAAATTTAATGGACCTGTCACGCCCTAGAACCCAAATCCGGGGACGTGGCAGACGCTGTGCACTCATGAGGCAGGTCCCACAAATGCACAAGGCTTGGAACTTATTCAAATCACAAAATCTCAAGAATAAAATCTACCTTACAAAAGAATGATAAAATCTAAAACTTATATCCAATTAGAATGGTTAGCCTTCTACCTCGTCACTCCCCTTGGTTTCCTCGTCCTCGGTTCCACTTCCTGAAATGGTGGACAAGGAAAACTATGAGATAACTCAGTAAGTAAATATGGATAGCCCTTGGGTAAAACTTTTAAGCATGCCAGATAAACAGTTTAATATAACAAAACGCTCAATGACAAAATAAGATTCAGTTCAATTGCAAAGCATTCAATGACAAACCGTCAATGCAAAATCAGATTCAGTTCAATAACAAAATGTTTCATGACAAACCGTTAATGCAGAAGAAAATTCAGTTCAATAGTCTCATTTATAAGTCATGGCCAGTGTTTATAAACCTCCCACTGGCGGGCACAGTAGTTACCAATGTTAAACCCCATTGGCAAGGTTACAGAAGTACCAGTGTTTAACAAACTCCCACTGGCAGGCGTCAGTAATGGTACTAGTGTTTACAACTCCCACTGGCAAGCGTCAGTAATTACCAATGTTTAACCCCATTGGCAAGGTTACAGAAGTACCAGTGTTGTGTTTAACAAACTCCCACTGGCAGGCGTCAGTAATGGTACCAGTGTTTACAAACTCCCACTGGCAAACGTCAGTAATTACCAATGTATTATCCCATTGGCAGGATGAATCGGTTCTACAGAAATACATGTCGACATGTGCTAGTGTTTATAAATCTCCCACTAGCGGGCACAGTAATCATGACTATATCCGAGACAAAACCATGCAGAATTTACAGAAAAATCCATAATTCACAATCAATCTCCCATTTCAGAAATAAACCAGAAAATTTCCATGTGAGCATGGATTTAATAGAAAAACTCAGAATTTACAAAACTCTCAGTTCATCAAAGCAGTTCAGTGAATTCCAAATAAGCATGCTCTACTCAATACAAATGAAAAACAATTTCATGTGGGCATGCTCAACTCCAGAAAAACAATGAAATTCTCATTTTCATTCCAATCATGCTCAATTCTAGAAAAACAATGAAATTCTCACTTTCATTCCAATCATGTTCAATTCCAAAAAATAATAATTTTCATAAAAATCATCCAAATTTTCATTTTAGTTTAATCACACTCAGATGCTAATAAAATCAATTTAAAATCAATTTAAACCTTGCTACCATCTCAAAGACAATTTAAAACATGCTTTGAAATCGAAGGGTTTTACCATAATTTACTTACCTCACTCGCACGAATAGAAGGTTTAACCCAAGTGCTACGGTAACAGAACAATCAAAACCTAATCGCAATATTCCACAATTAATACCACACTACTACAAATTCAAAGTAAAATCATCATTAGCACTACCCCTAATCACAGTGCTATTTTTATCAATCTCCACATAACCGGACATCTCCAAATTTATTTTTATATTACAAACTAATCATTTAAATCCCCGTTAATAGTTGACTCTCGGGGTGTGAACAGTATCCGTGAACAGTACCCATAAACAGTAACTGCACTTCCAAAATTGACCCAAACACTACCTAATTCACGGGATTTCTCTCCAAAATCTCACAACAGTCATAATAAGCTTATTTTCTACATTAAGCAAGCTTAAAACCCATGTTTTAAGGCTGCCAAAACTCCTCCATTTCAACAGGAAACTTCCAACGGACAAAATGGAGGAACCGAGCTTGGCAAAACAGCACTAAGGCCCGGCTATGCATACAGAACATCACAGTAATCCAATCACAGAAAATTCTACATGAATTTAAGCTAAAATTATATACTCAAATGGCTGTCGAATTTCTTCTTATTTCCACAAAATTTTCGGACAACCAGGGGGGATCACTTCAACCAATTAAAACTCAACAAGCAGCAATTAAGTGGGTAATTCGGACTTAAAGGAGGTTGTCAACTTACCCACAATTTTCCAGCTGCAAAAAACCGAGCTTGGCTGGGGGAGAAACCGGCGGGAATTGCAGGGGAAGCTCACGGCTACCTCTAAATTGAAGGAGATAAGAGCAATTAAGGTAAACCCAGCCTCAATCAAGCTGAAAAGATGAAGTTTATGGCTGTGGCTTACCCGAAAAATGCCCAAAAATTCAAACCCACATAGCAGTCGGCGGACAGGGTAGAAGAGCAGAGCAGATCCGGGATTTTGTGGGTTTAATAGGTGTTCTAGAACAAGAAAATAGGGAGAATTCCCCAAGCTTTGCCGGATTTCCGGCCGGAAATGGGCGGCGGTAACGGGGGGGGCTCGTCGGGTGCAGAGGGTCGGGGGAGGAAGGAGAAGCAGAAGCAGAAACACGCGGCTGGTGAGGAAGAAAAGAAAGAAAAAGGAAAAAGAAAAAGCAGTGGATCCTTATCCTAATTTTTTTTCTTTTTAGTCCTCAACTTTTGAAAATTTTGCTATTAAGCCCCTCAATAATATTTTTCCTCAAATAAGTCCCCTAACTTAATGCTAAAATATCACCAAATTTTGGGATATTACAGGACCAACAGAAGCTGATCCCACGTGAGAAATAGTAAGGGGTGTACCATCACCTGTGTATACCTTCCTGTTTCCGTTATAAGGTAGTTTTGAGTAGAGATTACCTTGGTTTGAGGTTATATGGTCACTTGCTGCAAAGTCAACTTGGAAACTCGAATCTTTGTCCTCTGATAAGGATACTGTAGCAAGGGCTTGAGGCAAGTCTTCACTTTGATATGCATGGTCAAATCTATACCAGCATTTTATGGCAACGTGACCATGAATTCCACAGATCTGGCAAGTGTTCTCACTTTGTGAACTCTGTGTCTTAGGCTGGTTCTTCTCTTGCAGGTTTCCTTGATATGGCTGAGGGTTGTTATTTGTGACAACTGGTCTATTGTTTCCAGACCAGTGGTTGTTGTAATTGCTTGCTTGTATGAAGCCTCTTCCTCTAGAGTTGAAGCTTCTTCTGCCTCTGCCTTGTTCTCCTCTTCCTCTTTGAACAATAAACACTTGTCCATAGTTTGGGGCTGAATTCTTTTCTTCTTCCTCTTCTGCCTTTAGATCTCGTTCAGTGTTTTCGAGGCCTAAGATGTACTGTCTAAAGGTTGGATATGGAGCTTTAGAGAGTACAGTAAGATTATATGGTTGGTAGCGTGACCTAACCACTCTAGACAAATGAAACACCTTATCAAGATCATCAAGAGGCTTGTTAATGGCAGCTAGACTGTCACAGATATTTTTTGAATTTCTTGAGGAATGCTTCAAGAGATTCATTACTTCCTCATTTAATAATCAATTGCCCTTTGAGTTGTAGCTCTTGTTCCTTTGTTGAGGTAAGATAATGCTCTTCCAAGCACTTCCAAATCTCGTATGCTGAGTTTGATCCAACGATGAGGCTAAGTGAGTCTTCATTCATGGTTTTGAGAAGCCAGCTTGTAAGGAGGCCATCATTGTTTAGCCAAACATTGTATTCTGGATTTTCTGTTTCTTCTTTGTCCTTTGAGATAGTTTCTGGCGGTGCATCTCCTTGGATATGATGAAGAAGCTGGGCACTCCTTATGAGAGGATAAACCTGTGACTTCCACAACAGAAAATTTGTATTAGATAATTTGACAGACACTAAGCTTGCCATTTGATGGAAGCTTTGAATGGTGAGTGAAGTCTTGTTCTTTGCCATAGTTGTAGAATTAAAAAAAATGCAGATATTGTAGAACAAAGGATTCAGATGCAGTGATCGTACTACTTTGATACCATGAAAAATTTTAATAAGGCTCAAAGGAAGAGAAATTGAGATTGTATATCTCTCTATACTGATATATGTTCAACATAGGAATATATATACATTACAGCCAACGTTCAACTCCTAAATTAGTGCAGTTGGCCTTGATTTACTATAATGGAAAATCATTCTATTAATAATTTTGATTT